ATGATCAAGTGGGCTTCATCCCTGGGATGCAAGGCTGGTTCAACATACACAAATCAGTAAATGTAATCCATCATATCAACAGAACCAAAGACAAAAACCACAGGATTATCTCAATAGGTGCAGAAAAGGCCTTTGACAAAATTCAACAGCCCTTCATGCGAAAAGCTCTCAATAAATTCGGTGTTGATGGAACGTATCTCAAACTAATAAGAGCTATTTATGACAAACCCACAGCCAATATCATACTGAATGGGCAAAAACTGGAAGCATTCTCTTTGAAAACTGGCACAAGACAGGGATGCTCTCTCTCACTACTCCTACTCAACATAGTGTTGGAAGTTCTGGCCAGGGCATTCAGGCAGGAGAAAGAAATAAAGGGTATTCAGTTAGGAAAAGAGGAAGTCAAATTGTCCCTGTTTGCAGATGACATGATTGTATATTTAGAAAACCCCATTGTCTCAGCCCAAAATCTCCTTAAGCTGATAAGCAACTTCAGCAAAGTCTCAGGATACAAAATCAATGTGCAAAAATCACAAGCATTCCTATACACCAATAATAGACAAACAGAGAGCCAAATAATGAGTGAACTCCCATTCATAATTGCTTCAAATAGAATAAAATACCTATGAATCCAACTTACAAGGGATGTGAAGGACCTCTTCAAGGAGAACTACAAACCACTGCTCAACGAAATAAACGAGGACACAAACAAATGGAAGATCATTCCATGCTCATGGATGGGAAGAATCAGTATCGTGAAAATGGCCATATTGCCCAAGGTAATTTATAGGTTCAATGCCATCACCATTAAGCTACCAATGACTTCTTTCACAGAATTGGAAATAACTACTTTAAAGTTCATATGGAACCAAAAAAGAACCCGCATCGCCAAGACAATCCTAAGCCAAAAGAACAAAGCTGGAAGGCATTCCCGCTATACTGACTTCAAACTATTTACTATAAGGGCTACAGTAACAAACAGCATGGTACCTGGTACCTAAAAACAGAGATATAGACCAATGGAACAACGAGCCTTCAGAAATAATACCACGGGAATCTCACTATCTGATCTTTGACAAACCTGACAGAAACAGGAGATGGCGGAAAGGATTCTATTTAATAAATGGTGCTGGAAATTGGATAGCCATAAGTAGAAGCTGAAACCTGGATCCTCCTTACACCTTATACCAAATTAATCCAAGAATGGATTAGAGATTTAACATGTTAGCCTAAAACCATTAAAACCGCTAGAAAGAAAACCTAGCATACCATTCGACTGGCATGCAAAATGTTCTAAAAACACAAACAATGCCCAGACAAACTTGACAAATGGGATCTAATTAAAATAAAGTTCCACCCAAACAGAACTACCATCAGATGGAATAGGGCAACCTACAGAATGGGAGAACATTTTTGATCTATCATCTGAACGAAAGGGCTAATATCCAGAACCTACGAAGAACTCAACATATTGCAAGAAAAACAACCCATCAAAAAGTGGGCAAAGATATGAACAGTACACTTCTCAAGAAGAAGGACTTTAACAGCCACAGACACATGAAAAAATGCTCCATCATCCACTCACCATCAGAGAAATGCAAATCAAAACCACAATGGACTACCATCTTCATACCAGTTAGAATGGCGATCATAAAAATCAGGAAACAAGCAGTGGTGCTGGAGAGGATGTGGAGAAACAGGACCATCTTTTACACTGTTTGGGGGACTTAAACTAGTTCAACGATGTGGAAACAGTGGGCGATTCCTCAAGGATCTAGAGTAGAATTACCATTTGACCCAGCCATCCCATTATGGGGTATATACCCAAAGGATTATAATCATGCTGTATCAAGACACATGCCAATGTGTTTATTGTGGCACTATTCAGTAATAGCAAAGGACTTGGAACCAACCCGAAAGGTCGTCAGTGACAGGGATCTGAATAACAAAGATGTGGCACAATCACCATGGAATACTATGCAGTCGTAAAAAAGGATGAGTTCATGTCCTTTGTAGGGACATGGATGCAGCTGGAAACCATCATTCTCAGCAAACTATGGCAAGGACAGAAAACCAAACACCGCATGTTCTCACTCATAGGTGGGAATTGAACAGTGAGAACACTTGGACACAGGAAGGGGAACATCACATACCAGGGCCTGTCGTGCTGTGGGGGAATGGGGAGGGATACCATTAGGAGATACACCTAATGTAAATGAAGCGTTAATGGGTGCAGCACACCAACATGGCACATGTATACATATGTAACAAACCTGCACGTTGTGCACATGTACCCTAGAACTTAAAGTATAATTTAAAAAACAAAAGAAGCCGGGCGCGGTGGCTCAAGCCTGTAATCCCAGCACTTTGGGAGGCCGAGGCGGGTGGATCACGAGGTCAGGAGATCGAGACTATCCTGGCTAACATGGTGAAACCCCGTCTCTACTAAAAATACAAAAAACTAGCCGGGCGTGGTGGCGGGCACCTGTAGTCTCAGCTACTTGGGAGGCTGAGGCGGGAGAATGGCATGAACCCGGGAGGCGGAGCTTGCAGTGAGCCGAGATCAGGCCACTGCACTCCAGCCTGGGAGACACAGCGAGACTCCGTCTCAAAAAAAAAATAAAAAAATAAAAAAATAAAAAACAAAAGAAAACAAAACAGAAAAATAAATAATGTGAAAAATTTATATGCCATGTAAAATATAAAGAAATGACCAGGCGTGGTGGTTCACGCCTATAATCCCGGCACTTTGGGAGGCTGAGGTGGGCGGATCACCTGAATTCAGGAGTTCGGGACCAGCCTGGCCAACATGGTGAAACTCCATCTCTACTAAAAGTACAAAAATTAGCCAGGCGTGGTGGTCCACATCTGTTATCCCAGCTTCTTGGGAGGGTAAGGGAGGAGAATTGCTTGAACCTCAGAGGTGGAGGTTGCATTGCGCTGAGATTGCACCATTGCACTCCAGCACTCTAAGCAAAAAAATGTAAGCCTGGGGAACAGAGTGAGACTCTGTCTCAAAAAACCAAAAAACCAAAAACCATATGTATGTATGTGTGTGTGTGTGTCTGTGTGTGTGTATATATATATATAAAAATGAAGAAAGTGTGAGCACTGAATAAGATGAGAAGGAAGTTAAAAGGACAAGACTGAAAAAGAGAACCGAGTGTACAAATTTTCTTAATTGATGTGTTATCAATTAAAAGTGAAAGAAAAAAATGTTTATTACTATTTTTCACAAATAAACCAAAATCTTTAAATTTATTTTGGGGAGTAAGGTAGGATTAACAAAAGTGGGTAAGTTCAACAAGAAACGGGCAATACTTCATAAGTGTTTTGTAAAACATCAGTTTCATAAGTTGAAGTGTCCGTCTACATCCCTGTAGTGTGTGGCAGGATAGGTTTTTTTTTTTTTTTTTTTCACCCAGTATGTCTTAAAGACCTTAAAACTCAAAGCTTGTTTTCTGTATACCTAAGGCTTTTTGTAAATTAAAGATTTTGCTTATGTTTGATCTTTGATCATTAGATAAGTATAGGTAGTATTAAATAAAATCATACAACCGGATTTTAAAAATTTCTGTCTGTGTTAGTGCTAACTTAATTTCTAATAGGAAAGAAAAAAAGCCAATAAAAGCTCATCCTTCATTGTCTAGTATTAAGAGTTCTCAGGTCTTTGATTCACAGAGACAGCTTGAAGCTAAGATATAAGATTATGATTAATGTGAAAATATTTGGACTATGAGCCTTCAAAATCAAAGATTAGCTGATAACTTCGTATAGATGTTACTACTATTGGAATACTAGTAATTAATGCTATTCTACTAAATAGTATAGATTTATCTGGGAGGCCTGCAATAAACTTAAAGTGTACATATCCCACTGAAATAAGAATACTACAAATATAGCCTCCTTCCTAGATTCTCTCCCTTCACTATCATAGTTAAAAATAGGTAGAGAGGTGAAATATAGTTGTTTTTTTTTTTAAAGTTTATAATAAGTACCTGAGCATCTGGTGTTTGCTAAAATAATTCAAAGTAGGTATGTTGCATTTCATATGTTAGCATACAAACTGCCTATTTAGGATAATATTGCTGTTTTTAATTAAGTGCAGAAAACACTATTATAAGTAGTTAAATGACTTGTTACTGGGTTTGTTTGCATGTATATAGAATTGATGTGGAAATTTTAAACACTATTAAATGCATTTTCCTAAAATATGTTTTTTAAAATACAGATATTTCACAGTTCTTGCCGAGTGCTTCACTTTTTCACTAGAAGTAAACGACTTTTTGCAGCCAGTTTGTTCACTTTCACAACCCAGCAGACTTCTTTGAGATTGGTCTGGATTTTACAGAACCTGATTGAGGTAAGAAAATACTGTGTGTGTGTGTAAACCATATGAAGACTCCGGGGAAGAAAAAATTAAAGGAATAAAGATAGTAATTTGATTATTTGAGGAAAAATTGTCTACCACATATTGGAATGGAAGACAATGTGGCATCTTGTTTTTGTTTGTTTGTTTGTTTTGCTTTTTTTTTTTTTTTTGAGACAGAGTTTTGCTCTTGTTGCTCAGGCTGAAGTGCAATGGCACGATCTCAGCTCACTGCAATCTCTGGCTCCCAGGTTCAAGTGATTCTCCTGCCACAGCCTCCCGAGTACCTGGGATTACAGGTGCCCGCCACCACACCCAGCTAATTTTTTGTATTTTTTGTAGAGACAAGATTTCACCATGTTGGCCAGGTTGGTCACAAACTCCTGATCTCAGTGATCCATCTGCCTCAGCCTCCCAAAGTGCTGGGATTACAGGCGTGAGCCACCATATGGATTACAGGCATGAGCCATATCTTTGATTTATATCAGTGGAATTCTTTTGTGTCAGACTCCTTTTGCTCAACATCATGTTTTTGACATATAGCAATGTTGTGTGTAAATTACTTTGCTTATATTTTCATTGCTATTTGCTGTTCAATGTATGATTTTACCATATTTATTGTCTATTCTATTCATGTACATTTGGGTTATTTCCTGTTTTTAGCTGTTATGATTAATGCATCTCTTGGTGTATATGTAATTGCTATGTCTATACATAGGAATGGAATTTTTAGGGCATGAATGTTTATATATGTCTTCACTTTTTTTTTTTTTTTTTTTGAGACGGAGTCTCACTCTGTCACCCAGGCTGGAGTGCAATGTGTGATCTCGGCTCACTGTAACTTCTGCCTCCCAGGTTCAAGCGATTCTCCTGCCTCAGCCTCCTGAATAGCTGGGATTACAGGCGCAGGCCATCATGCCCAGCTAGTTTTTGTATTTTTAGTAGAGATGGGGTTTCACCATGTTGGCCAGGCTGGTCTTGAACTCCTGACCTCGTGATCCGCCCGCCTCGGCCTCCCAAAGTGCTAGGATTACAAGCATGAGTCACCACGCCCAGCCATATATCTTTATCTTTAATGGATAATGTCAAAACACTTTTGCAAAGTGATAATAACAATTTACACACTCTCTATCAGTATGTGATCAGAGGACCTTTTATTTCATTTACGATTGTAATTGACATTGTTAGTTTTTTATATTTTAGCCATCCTAGTTGGTAAGTAATAATATCTGAGTGTGATTTTAGACTGGATAAAAAAACAAGATCTAACTATATGTTGTCTATAAGGGGCACACTTTAGATTTAAAAAATATAAAGAGGTTAAAAGTAAGTGAGTGGAAAAGATATGTAAACAGTCACTATATCATGTAAACAGTTACATATATCATGTAAACAGTCACTATAAGAAACTGGAGTGGTTATATTAACATCAGACAGTATAGACTTTAAAACAAAAATATGTTACTAGAGATAAAAAGGGAATTTTACAATGATAAGATGGTCAATTCATCATAAATATATAACAGTTATAAACACCTAATAACAGAGGTCCACACTACATGAAGCAAAAATGGACAGAATTGAAGGGAAAAATAGACAGTCGAGCAGGATAGTTGGAGACTTCAGTGCCCCACTTTCTTTTTTTTTTTCCTTTTTTTTTTTTTGAGACGGAATCTTGCTCTGTCACCCAGGCTGGAGTGCAGTGGCATGATCTCGGCTCACTGCGAGCTCCAGCTCCTGGGTTCACGTCATTCTTCTGCCTCAGCCTCCCAGGTAGCTGGGACTACAGGAGCCCGCCACCACGCCCGGCTAATTTTTTGTATATTTAGTAGAGATGGGGTTTCACCGTGTTAGCCAGGAGGGTCTTGATCTCCTAACCTCGTGATCCACCTGCCTCGGCCTCCCAAAGTGCTAGGATTACAGGCGAGAGCCACCGTGCTTGGCCTTCACTTTCAGTAATGAATAGAATAACTAGACAGAAGATTAACAAGGAAATAGAAAGTTGATTAACAGTAACAACTAACTAGACCTAACAGACATTTATAGAAAACTCTACCCAAGAACAGAATATACATTCTCCTGAAGTGTACATGGAACTTTCTCCAGGATAGATCATAGGCTAGGCCATACTACAAGCCTCAGTAAATTTAAAGGGATTGAAATCATATGAAGCCTGTTGTCTGACCATAAAGGCTTCAAATTAAAAGTAACAGAAAAAACTTGGGAAGTTCTAAAATACATGAAGATTAAACAACACACTTAAAAATAACCAATGGGTCCAAGAAGAAATCGTAAGAGAAAATTAAGAAATACTTTGAGATGAATGAAAATAAGATACAACATACCAAAACTTATTAGATGCAGATAAAGTACTTAGAAGGAAATTTATAGTAAGACTATATTACATGTAGAAGAGTATATTTAAAAAGAAGAAAAATATCAAGTCAATAATCTACCATTCTACCTTACGACATGGAAAATGATGAGCAAACTAAATCCAAAACAAGCAGAAGGAAAGAAATAATTGAATTAGAGCAAAATTAATGCAATAGAGAATAGAAAAACAGTGAAGAAAATCAATAAAATCAAAAGTTGCTTCTTTGAAAAGATGAGCTAAACTGACAAAGACAAGAGAGAAAACCCAAATAACTAAAATTATGAATTATTATGAAATTATGGATATTAATACTGACCTCACAGAAATAAAAAGCATTAATAGGCAATACCATGAACAAGTGCATGCCAACAAATTAGATAACCAAGATAAAATGAAAAATTTCCTAGAAATAACACAAACTACTGGAAATAACTCAAAAAGAAATAAATAATCTGAATAAATCTATAACAAGTAAAGAGATTGAAGTAATAAATAATAAATTCTCACCTAGAAAAGCCCAGAGCCAGATGGCTTTACTAGTGAGTTCTACCAAAAGTTTAAAGAAGAATTAACACAATCTTTTCACAACTTCTTCCAAAAGATAGAAAGGGAAAATAGACAATTGAATAGTAATAGTTGGAGACTTTAATACCCCATCAGTAGTGGATTATACTTCCATTATTGGAGTGAGAGATACTTCCCAGCTCTTTCTTTTAGGCCATTATTCTCTGATAACCAAATCAAAGACATCAAGAGAAAATAAACTGACAGATCAATATTCCTTATGAATACAAATGCAGAAATCCTCAACAAGGCTGGGTGTGGTGGCTCATGCCTGTAATCCCAGCACTTTGGGAGTCTAAGGCAAGAGGATTGCTTGAACCCAAAAGTTCAAGACCTGCCTCGGCAATATAGCAAGACACCATCTCTCCAAAAAAATTAAAAATTAAAAAATTAGCTGGGTATAGTAGTACACACCTGTAGTCCTAGCTACTTGGGAGACTGGCATGGGAGGATTGCTTACCCCAGAGTTTGAGACAGCAATGATCTAGGATCACACCACCACTGCACTCCAGCTTGGATGACAGAGCAAGACCCTGTCTCTGGAAAAAAACCGCACACACACACAAAACTTCAGCAAAATATTAGCAAGTCAAGTCCAGCAACATATAAAAAGGATTATATATCATGACTAAGTGGGATTTATCCCAAGAATACAGGATTGGTTTAGCATTCAAAAATCGATTAATATGGATCTTTTATTAAAACTGGTAAATGAAAAAAATAGAAAATTAATATACACCATATTAATAGGATAAAGGACAAAAAAGGATCACGTCAGTAGATGTAGAAAAAAGTGTTTGACAATATCTAGTGCCTGATAAAATGCTCAACATACTAGGAATAGAAGGAAAGTGCTTCAACCTGATCTGTGAAAAACTCACAGCCGACACCATGCTTAATAGTCAAAGACTGAATGTTTTTCTCCTAAGTTTGGGAATAAGACAAAGATGTCCACTCTCACCACTTCTAATTAACATTGTATGAGAGGTTCTAAGCCGGGGCAGTTGAGCAAGACAATGTAATAAAAGGCAACTAGATTGGAAAGGAAGGAGTAAAACTATCTCTATGATGCAGATGACATGATCTTGTATATTGAAAATCCTAAGGAATTTCCTAAAAAAATTAGCACTAATATTATAAATGAGTGTAGTAAGGTCAGAGGGTATAAGATCAATATACAAAAAAAAAAAAAAAAAAAATTCTTTTTTGAGACAGTCACCCAGGCTTGAGTACAGTGGCACAATAGCAGTCACTGTAGCCTCAACCTCCAGGCTGAAGAGATCCTCTTACTTCAGCCTCCTGAGTAGCTGGGACTACAGGCGCACACCACTATGCCCAGTTAAGTTTTTTTTTTTTTTTCTGAGATGGAGTCTTACTCTGTCATCCAGTCGGGAGTGCGGTGGCATGATCTTGGCTTACTGCAACCTCTGCCTCCCGGGCTCAAGCGATTCTCCTGCCTCAGCCTCCCAAGTAGCTGGGACTACAGGCGTGCACCACAACACCCAGATAACTTTTGTATTTTTAGTAGAGACAGAGTTTCACCATGTTGGCCAGGCTGGTCTCGAACTCCTGACGTTAAGTGATTCGCCCACCTCAACCTCCCAAAGTGCTGGGATTACAGGTGTGAGTCACCGTGCCTGGCCCCAGTTAATTTTTAAAATTTTTGTAGAAACAAAGTCTCACTATTTTGTCCTAGCTGCTCTTGAACTCCTGAGCTCAAGTAATCTTTCACCCTAGCCTTCCAAACTGCTGGGAATACAGGTGTGACCTGCCGCATACAGCTGAAAATTAATCGTGTTTCTATATACTAGCAAAGAACAACTAGAACATGAAATTAAGAAAACAATTTCGGCTGGATGCAGTGGCTCCCTCCTGTAATCCCAGCACTTTGGGAGGCTGAGGCAGGTGGATCACCTGAGATCAGGATTTCGAGACCAGCCTGGCCAACATGGTGAAACCCCGTCTCTACTACAAATACAAAAATTAGCCAGGCATGGCGGTGGACTCCTGTAATCCCAGCTATGCGGGAGGCTGAGGCAGGAGAATAGCTTGA